TCCGCCCCCAGCTGACCAAAGCGCTGTGCCCGCAGAGCCCCAGTTCTCCAAGGAGCAGGAGCTCTTCGCCAGCATCAACACCACGCGCGTGCGGCTCAGCCTCACCGGCTGGATGGACGGCGGCTGCCCCATCGCCTCCTTCACGCTCGAGTACCGGCCCTTCGGGGCCGCGGTCTGGACCACGGCGCAGCGCACCTCGCTCTCCAAGTCCTACATCCTGTACGACCTGCAGGAGGCCACCTGGTACGAGCTGCACATGCGGGCGTGCAACAGCGCGGGCTGCGCCGAGAAGCAGGCCAGCTTCGCCACGCTCAACTCCGACGGCAGTGAGTGGGGCCCCGGCGGCGCGGGCGGGCCCTGCCCCTCCCGAGTGACCAGCGTCTGGGCGGGGTGGTGGCTGTCGTGCTTGCGGGCCGGTGGGGCCCCCACCCAGTGCTCCTCCGGGACAGGGCTGGGTCCAGAGAGAAGGGCGCCCGGCGTGGGAGGGCTTGTCCCGAGCTGGGCCCGCGCCACGGAGCCGGCGCCCTCGCCGGGACTGGGCTGGCGCGACTCTGCCATCTCCCCCCACACGCACCGTCCAGGGCTTTCTGTGCTGCGCGCGCTGAGCTCTGGAAGTGCACGAGCAGAGGCAGCTGCCCACCGCGAAGGAGACAGTGAAGCCCCTGAGCGGCATCGAGGCCGCGACCAAAGAGACCAGGGAGGGGCGGTGCACGCACAGCACACGCACACAGACACACACGCCCACCTGCACCGAGGCGCACACGGGCACGCAGACACACGTACGCACAACACGTGTGCAGACGTGTACACACACACATATGCTCACGCACGCACACAGTTACAGCAGTGTGTGTCACTCACGTGCAGGCACATAGACGTGTGACACACAGCACGTGTGTGTGGCCCATGCAAACAACACACGTGCACGTGCGTGCACAGGGATGCTCTCACTCACCTGCAAACACGCACGCAGACTCGCTGCAGGCACACACTTGCACACGCGTGCACACGCACGCCTGGGCTTTCTGAAGCCCAGTAGACCCAAAGTGGGCCCCGGGCCATCGAGGGCTGGCCACTGGCCTCGGCCGTGGTGCTGCCGGGTGGCCTGAAATGCTGGGCAGTGCCAGGGTCCTCAGGACAGCGTGTAGTGCCCCTTGCGGACTTGCCGTGACCGTCCCAGAGAGTGGCAGGAGCCGAACCAGATGCTCTGATCATGGGGTAAAACTGGCTGCAGCGCCTCAGAATGCGGGGGGCTCCTGGCTCTGCCCCCAGAGCTCCTGTCCATTCTCGCCAATTGGGTTCCACCTGAGCAAACCCCCAAACGTTCTTCACCCCTCCCTGGTGGGGGCGTCCCCTCCGGGGTCCTGTGCCTTGGGGACCTCGCTGACTCACAGTCTAGGCGTGTGACCCCCACCCTGAACACTGTCCCCCTCCCCCTGAGAGGCTACCCCCCTCCACCCGAGAGGCCGCCCCCCGCTGGGAGCTGGCGACTTCGCCAGAAGCCAGAAGCCGGCCGCCAGAGCACGAAGCCGGCGTCTCCAGAGACTCGGTAGCCTCACTGTCTCCAGAGCCTGCGACGGTCATCATAAGACGTCCTGCGAGGCGTAGTGCATTTGCTGAGGTCGAAATGATTTTATTCCACTAAAAAAATAAGGATATATAGTTTTATTTTCCTTGGAAAAGCTCGCAGCCTGCTTTGAACCAATGGATATATGTTTTTAATATCTGTTCCGCCGCGTGTGCCTGAAGACTCCGTCTGCACTTGGGAAAACAAACATCGGCCGCGCCCGTCTGTCTGGCCCACCTCACGCTCCCACTTCCCCGTCCGTGCTTCCTCTGCCGGGCCCGCCCCCGGCCCCTTGGTCCATGTGGCCTCCGCAGGTGCACTCCCCCTGTGGGGCTCCGTCCGGCGTCAGCCCACACCCCAGGAACCCGAACAGCGCCCTTCCTGGCCTCGCAGGGCCCTCAGGGAGGCGAGGGCAGGTTACGGTCCCTTTGCCCATAGGGGGTTATTTGGGCACAGTGTTTCCTAAGTCACCAGCCGGTGTTTGGCTGCAAGTGCAGGCCACGGCCCGTCCTGCCCGAGGGAGGAGCCCACTGACCGGTGACTGACCGGCGGCCTCCCTGCTTGTGTCTGAGCGTCCGCTCAGCACCAGCCTGCAGAGACGACAGCTCAGAACAATCCAGAACTATCCCGCCCACTGGAGGTGTTCCCTGTTCATTCTAAGTGGACTGAGTCTCACAGCATCGCTGAATAACGCGGCTTCTCTGGCCCCTGGGCGGCCCCCTTGGAAAGTTTCCTGCAGCCCTGACACCATGAAACGAGGGTTTAGAGTAGGATTGGTCTTAACACGTGTGATAAAACGTGAGCCAACAGCCAAACTAAAGCGCCTCAGCGTCCTGAGGTCCCGCACAGCTCCCGCTGAGCGCTGCTCGCTCACACGCAGCCAGCCGCGACCCCGTCTCCGGCTTAGCCGCGCCCTTTCCAAACAGCCTCTGTCGATTCGTGACAGGGGACACGTTGGCACGGGTGACAGCACGTGACTTTTGAGCACTGAGCCCGGGGCATACTCTCTTCAAGTGTCTGTTGCCAGCAGTGCACTGTAGAGCAAAGCTCTGTCAAGAGAATGTACCTGACCTGATGCCATCGTGTGCTAGAGCGAGGTCAAGGTCACATGCTAGAGAGAGGTCAAGGTCGTGTGCTAGAGAGAGGTCGAGGCCATGTACTAGAGTGAGGTCTAGGCAGAAGGAGGTGAGGGAGCAAGCAATACTGCAGCTGAACCTAGGTAAAGTGTTCCCCTGTTTCTCTTCACCCTGGGCACCCGCGAATCCCCACGCCCCACCCTGCTGCCGTCATCAGCGTGCGCCTGACACCCTGGCCCTGCTTGCAGGTACAATCCCCCCGCTCATTAAGTCAGTCGTCCAAAGCGAAGAAGGGCTGACGACCAACGAGGGGCTCAAGATGCTGGTGACCATCGCCTGCATCCTGGTGGGGGTGCTGCTGCTCTTCGTGCTGCTGCTGGTGGTGAGGCGGAGGCGGCGCGAGCAGAGGCTGAAGAGGCTGAGAGGTGAGTCGGCTGCGCAGCCCCC